AAATTAAATTAATCAGTATTTCTTTAGTCTACTGAAAACTGCAAAAAACAAAACAAAACAGAAAAGAACGCAACAAAAAAACAAAACAAAACTGCAACACATCCACACACAATACAAGTGGTTTCAACCTGTCTGTTGAATCTCCTTTTTGATACATTAAAATATAAATTCATTTGGGTATCAATATGAAGTAAGATTTTGTTCTGTACTGAAGTCATGGCATATTTATTATCTATTGTTATAGCTGCTCATTTGTAAGTGAGTAAGAAAATGAAGCATGCAATATTTGTATAAACGTCCAGGATTAAGAGATGGATGCCTTATGTCAGTATTTTCACATTAATGTAGATTTTAATGGTGAAAGTCCTGTAAGGCATGCATGTGTGTGCACACATGTGCACGTACACACAGAGAGTATTTAATGATTAACACTTATATCACACTTTTCAGCCAAGGTGCTCAAAGCTCTTCACAAACGTATATGATTAAAGCCCCATGACACACTTGTAAGGTAGTTAAATACTATTATTTCCATTTTACAGGTGTTAAAACTGAGGCCCACAAAAGTGCTGAGCAACCAGAAATCCCACAAAAGTCAAAGTGAGCAGCAGGTGCTCAAGACTTATAAAAAGTCACTGAGGATGTCTGTGGCGGAGACAGGAAGGAAAAACTGATCTTCTGTCTCCCATGCTTCCTTTCTTTTTCTGAGGTTAGATCTTTTTCTAACCTTCCACCCAGGAAAGACTAGTTTGATGGAGCATTCCAGTATGAATTTATAGGTAAATCCTAATAAACCAAATAGTTGTTGGGGCATATCAGAATTTTTTTAAAATAATAATAATAATAATAATAATAATAATAATTCTGATTTTGGGGAACATTTCCAAATTTTGGATAATCTGAATTTCCAATTCATTAATGTTTGGACAACTGTAGTGTATCTATATTTGGAAAATACACATTCCATTCACTAATTCTGCAGTCCTTACATTGATAAAATTGCACTGAAATCACCTAAGTTAGCACTACTGAATTTTGTCCATTCCGAGCATAGTGGATGAAAAACCATATAAAACTTGTGCATAATTTTCTAAGAATTGTAACTCCTATTTTAAATTACTAGGGGATAACATTTTGCTTTATGCGGACACCTGGACGATTTAAACAACATTAAAAAGAAGGAGATGCAATAACAATACTTTTAAATTAAATTATGTGCCATCTTTATTCATCTCTGTCTTCAACTCTTGCCACGGATGAGGTAATTGTGGATTCTTGTGTCACATTTCTGGATATATAAATACACAAGAGGAGGAGCAGCATATTCACGCTTCTGAAGAGTCAAAGTGAAAGTTCTTAGTAGTTCAGTAAGTGTAGTTATTGCCTAGCATATACAAACATATGTTTCTCATAAATGTCTAATTTGAGATTTCAGGTAGGGGAAAAACAAATAAAAAGTGCTGTCATGTCCATTCCTCTTTTTAAAATATTCAAAAACATCAAATATTCAGGAAACTAATATTTTTATATCTATGTTAACAAAATATCTGCATTCCAGCATTAGGTTTTTACTTCTGTAAATGTTACATTAAGTATAAATGAAATGTTATTTGTAAATGAAACATTAAAAAACAAAAACAAAAAGATTTTTTAAGACACAGTCACCTGAAACCCCTTCCTACCAGTAAATTCATATAAAACATTTGAAAAGATTATCGTGGTGGAACTGACTTAATGAATACTCAAAATGCAAGCTCAAATCTACCCTATAAAGCAATCACATTTTTAGCAACTATTTTGACCTTAGTGACACAAACAATTAATTCTACAAACCTAATATCAAAATAAAATTCTACATCTAATGCAGAGTAATTTGTCAATGTATTTAATCAAAAATATGCTATTTCCATGTATTATATATTCTAGTACCTAAAACAGATTTTAACAGATTAAAAATAAGCGTATGACTTTTTTGGCTATTAATTTTCTGATAACACCACAAAATTTAATAAGAAAAAAACTTTGAACCGGTTACATCCATTGTATCACATTTTCAATATTAAAAATATATGTTCATTTTAACAATATTTACAGGTTGATAAATATCAGCACTAGGATAAAAAGTTGCTTACAGTCTAGCCATATATCTTTAAAGCCGACTTGATGACTAGTGACAGTACCCAATTCATTTATCATTGAGTATATATAACAATATATTATAGAATACTGTCAATCTGTCTTGATACATGGATGAAGAATAACTGTCTTATTTAAGTCAAACTTCCCAATCCTATATAAGCATCACAGCAATATAATTAATCAAGCCAAAACCAGGACTGTCCAAACTCCAAAAAAAATTCCACACAAAAGCCTCAATGGAGACTGATATTTTAACTTTGTTTACTTTACATGAATCTACCAGTTTCTGACCAAATGTCGAACAAGATGTTTCAGCTAACTGATCAGTCCTATCTTATTAAGCAATTTAAAGTAATCTCAGTTGCTCCTTGTATATAAGCATCAATCATCATGTTTAACTTTAACCAGTAAATATTCATGCCAAGTTGAAAAGCTCATCTCTTAATTCTACTTTGCTCAATTACCTGTTCTGATGTATTAGCAACACTTTAACTAACTGTCCAGTTGCAGGAAATATACTTAAGTTAAAAGCAACAGCAGTTCACATTATTACTTACACGTAAGAGATAGAACCACAATAAACAATGAGTTTATTTTAAGGCTCACATTAAGGTGACACAGGGAAGCCAAAAAAAGAATACTAAATTATGACATTAGGACATTGGATCTCTGCAAGTGCATATTAAAAAAAGAAAAGAAAAAAGAAAAATAAATACAGATTTATTGTACTTTTAAATATCTGTCTAGTAAGTAATTCACATAAGAAAAGTATTGATCTAGAAAGTTACTACAATGGTAACAATAAACACAGCTTGCATTTTTCTTTTAAATAACATTTAAGGGGGGAAATACAAAGAAATGTAGTACAAAGATATGCAAATCACCTAAAGGACAGCACATTCCATGTTTACGTTTTACATCAACATGTTCTGTAGAAGGATTTATACACCAAACTCAGGTGGTATTTAAATCCTATGGTGCAGACCCTATCATAAAATGCCTCCTGAGTCCTATTAAGTGTACCCACAGTTTTACTTTGCCTGTCTGCTTATTTAAGATATAATCACAGTTTTGAAGAAAAGATTGTCACTTCTAAGCCTGTCCCCTCAGAACCTGTCTGTTATTAATACTCTACTGGATATTTTCATCTTCAATTGTTATTCTCTGTGGTCTTTGCAAATGCTATCTACTGGAATCTGTGACTATATGGACAAATGAGCTACAAACATCTAGGGCTGCTGCTTTGAGTAACATGTAAGTGGCATATTATTCTGTTGATATGTTTTGTGGTGTAAAGTACTGCAGTTCAATTTGGGTTTTAAATCATTTTTACATATTAAATGACCTATTTCTTAGAAGTTTAATAAATATTTAAACACTAACAACTTCAAATTCTTAAATAAAGGCAATGACCTGCTTTTCATATGAAAATAATATAAAATGTAAAAAATATAGTTTTAAGACAACTAAGTATTTAGAGGGCATTGAAAAATACATTTCCTCACACTGTAATACAGTAAGTGCTCAGCTGTTAAAATAAAATACACTTGCAATTGAAAGAATGCACAGATGTAAGAGTCTTAACGTCTCAGATTTCAACCATAACTATTTTATTTAATTTTTCCACACTTTCTGTCATTATTGCAAATATTTAATGGTCAAAGTACCTAGTGAAACTGTCTAATTTTAGCATTAAGAACAACTAACTTTTAAAAGTCACTATGCCCTGGGTTATCTCAGAGGCCCAAATTTGAATAATTTAGGTATACTAAGATATATGTTTCTCTACCAAACCTGCTTTTTTAGACTGTTTCACGTTAAGTGATGCTACTTTCCCTTCAGTAATCAAATCCAGGTGTTGCTAATAAAAAAAATATCAATATTTACAAATTAAGGTGAAATCCTGAAAGGTGCTGAGATTGGGGGCCTAATTTACAGAGATGAGTGGGTGTCGAAGGCATCCAGCAGCTTAAAAGAGGTGCTGAGTACTTGGGAAGATCAGTTCCCAGATGCTTACCAATTAAATTGATTTTGGCTTACACACTGGAGACAAAGTAGAAGAGATTAAGTTTGCATACGGTTAGAAGGAAAATAAACCTTACAGTGACACAAAATTAATCAACTGTACTTGTTAATTAATTGACTTTTTAATAGAAATTCTCTTTTTAGTTGATCAGCAGCTTATTTTTCTAATTTTAGAAGTATAAACTGCAGTCAGATGGCATATACAAGAAATAAAACTTCAAAATGTCAAAATGGAACTATCTATATAAAAGTTTTTGCCTCCTTCTATAAATATATGGCAGGCTTTTCAGCAATATCAACACATATATAAAATAAAATGTAGACCTTATCTTTCAGGAGATGTTAACTAATCAGTATTTTGTATTTATAACTATCACAGCAGATCATCTGTGTTGTGAGAAGTCACTCTGAGCTCTTCACCTTAGCTCAGACTTTGGAACAATTCATTGTATAAGCAAGCAAAGTATCAAGTAATGTGGCCCTCTGGTGGAACAGGAAGAATCACATTTTACATCACAGTATCACACAGTAAACTAGAGGTTCTAAAAACATTTACTGAAAAGCTTCATAGCAACTTTTATAAATTTGTTATGCAAACCTAATTAGTGAAAGAGCACATGTATTGTATTACAGTGCTAGTAAAATATTACTAATATGAAAACAATATCTTGGTATTTCAGCATTACCATGCACAGAAACAACAACAAATAATGCACTGTACTCTTTGGCTTACACAATACTTTACATTCACTACATATACAAAATCTATATAAGGATGTAAGTAAAGAAACATCTTTATTTGTTTAAGAACAAACATTAAGCAAAACAAAACTTACCTGCTGTTGTTGCAGATGCAGCAGTTCTACTGTGCTTACTTCAGTGCTCGTGTCACCACTTGATCTTCCATCTCTGCTGCCAGCATCTAATTGGCTGCTTAGAGCGCTCATTCCATTTTGATTCATTGAACTGTTGCTTATTGTCTCTGTTGCAGATTCCTGCATCATGACTTAATACCTAAAAG